TTCGACTTCCATAAAAGGACATTCTGTGGACAACTTCCTGGAAGGAGCTGACACACGCGTAGCGTGCACCTCAGCCAGCACAAGCCAGATGTTCAGACTCTGCTTGTGCCTTTGTGCCAGTGAGGGCAGTGATCCTGGTTCAGACGGCGGCCTTGCTCCTGTTCTCCAGGAGAGAAACTTCTTTTACAGTTTACATGTAAACAGTAGTGGTGGTGTTTTTCTAAATCACAGTAATAGTCCTTAAATAACGCACAGGTTGTGTAATCCGTTAGCAACATCTGGACATGTGTACAGGTCACCGAGTTGTGCTCTAATCAACCGAGATGAAAGAAGCTTTTTGAACCCAAGGTCATCTACCGTGGTTTAAACTTGTTTACATCCGATCATTTGCTTTACCGTGTGAACGCTAATTCAGCATTCGAACAGTTTGTTTTAGAAGTCCTTGTGATCTAATGCATACTTTGTACTATTTCAGCAAGTCTTATATCAAAAGTTCAGCTCATTCAGGGGAGAGGTGCCAAGACTTGAGTTTTTTTCTTTCTTTTATACTTGTCAAATTATTTATTTTTCCTTGGAACAGCACCGAGTTAGTTCTCTCCACTCCCTGACAACCAAACCTGAAATCTGCTTCAATGCTTCATTTTTGTCTTCTTATGATACGGTCACATTTTAGCTGGCATTTTGTCTGCTTTTAGCCTCTAGTTAGCAGTTTGCTACTTTCATGCTGTAATTTAGCTAGTCCAAAAAAGTTCAATCTGGTCCTCTGGACATTCAAAATTTTTGAATGTCCAGAGGACCAGATTGAACTTTTGTGGATTTTTCTACCTGGATTATTGAGCATGCATCAGGATAATTTAGCTAGTATTGTGCTACTTTTTGTTTATAGCATCCATTTAGCTTGTTTTAGCTTTAGCTACTTGTAGTTTTAAGTAGCCATTTGAATAAAGGCAGGTTGAGTCAGGTCCTCTGACGGGTTCTTCGGACCCTGGTTAGATGTGTTCATTCATTCAACCTTTATTTCCACAGGTTAGTCCCACTGAGCCTCAGGACTCTTTGACAGAGACACCTGATTTAACAAAGACTCATGACAACAATACAGTTATAAAAAGGCTTACAGATTTTATTTTATTAACAAATAAGATGGCAAAAAAGAAACAAAAACAGCTACATTATAAGCTGAATAATTACTGAATAATTTAATTAATTAATTAATATTAAAATAATTAAAATAATTATTAATTATTAGGGGCAGCACGGTGGTGCAACTGGTAGAGCTGCTGCCTCTCAGCGAGCAGGTCCCTGGTTCAAATCCCGGTCCAGGGGCCTTTCTGGGTGGATCCAAAAAAGTTCAATCTGGTCCTCTGGACATTCAAAAAAGCAAAAAACAAAACAAAGCAAAAAAATGTAGAAACGTTTCGTCTCTCATCCGAGAGACTTCCTCAGTCTGAGGTGCTGTATTCAGCTCAGTCTCTTAAATAGCACCTTCTCAGACCTGGTTGTGTGTCTCGTTTGTCTCTATGTGTCCCTGTGGTGGACTGGAGACATGTCCAGGGTGTCCCCCGCCCCTCGCACAGTGATTGCTGGACATGGGCACCGGTGACCCAAAATGGAAGAAGCAGGTAATCAATCAAGCTTTATTTCTACAGGTAAATCCCATTGAGCCTCGAGGACCCATTTACAAGAGAGACCTGATTAAAGATGATGGATGGATGGAATAATTATTAGGCTATTTATCTACCTGGATTATTGAGCAGCATCAGGACAACAGTATTTTGGCTTTTAGAAACACTTTTGTAACTTATCTTCTAGCTAGCCTTTTAATATTTTAGCCATTTCTTGCTTAACCTTTTAACTAGCATTTTGCCACTTTAGCTTTTAAATATATATATTTTGCTACTTTTAGCCTTTTGTTAGCCATTTTGTAGTCTTGGAGTTTTCTTAGCATTTGGCTACTTTTATCCTTTAGCTAGCCTTTTAATATTTTAGCTAGCCTTTTGCTGTTTTAGCTAACCATTCCCTACATTAGCTTTTAGCTAGCATTTTGTTATTACCTAGTTATTTGCTATTTTTAGCTTTTAGACAGCCTTTCACTAACTTAAGCTATCATTGTTGTTTGCTATATTTTTTAGCTTTTAGCTAGCCTTTAGCTAATTTTAGCCTTCAATAAGACATTTTATACTATTTGCATTTAGTTATCCTTCTGCTTCTTTTATCATCTAGCAGCTCAGGGGCGTCAAACTCACTTACAAAAGAGGCCAAAATTTAAACCTTTTTCAAACTAAGGGAAACAAATTAAAGTGATAAAAGTATTTTACATTTAAAATAACATCTCGGCCACATAAGATGTCAATGGGGGCCACATTTGGCCCCCGGGCCTTGAGTTTGACACATATGAGCTAGCTAGTATTTCAAGATTTCAGCTATCCTTTACTTAACTATTTAATATGTTTAGCTTTTAGGTAAATCTTTTACACTGCCAATGTAAAGTTTGTAGCTTTTAGCTAGGTTTCTGATACTTGAGCTTTTAGCTGGCATTTTGCTACTTTAGTTGTAGTAAGTCTTTTTACATTTACCTTTTAGCTAGTCTCTTGATACTTTAGGCATGCCTTCTGTTGCTTTTAGCTGGCATTTTGCCATTGCTAGCATCTAGCAATGTTATCTTTTAGCTCCTTTTAGCAAAGGTGAGACTACTTTTAGCTAGCCTTTCGTTATTTTAGTGTTAAATGAGTTTTGATCTGTGTAGCAGGCTTCGGACAAGTCCACCCAGAGAACACTGGTTTCCATGAACAGTTCGAGATGTTTCCATGAACAGTTCGAGATGTTTCCATGAACAGTTCGAGATGTTTCCATGAACAGTTCGAGATGTTTCCATGAACAGTTCGAGATGTTAGTTAGCTTACGAAGGTTCGTCGTTTCTAAATAATGACGTAAAGAAGCCAAAGAATGTGACCGTACATGACGGACAACTTTAACCGAAAATAAACCTTTTACTACTAATAAAAGAAGAGTGTTCATCCGCGCTGCTTTAAACTGTCACCACTTTTAAGGAACCGGGACTTTTAAAATGTGGAAGAAGTTCTTGAACTTCCACAAATGACGGAGGCTGTCTCGGTTCAACTTACCGGCACTGGGCGCTGTGGGTGGGTCAGAAGAAGCGGAGCCCGCTCCTCAGTCCGGTCTGCTCCGAGCAGCTCCGAGCCACAAACGATGCGCTGTGTGGCCGCACAGGCTCGTTCAGGCGTCTCCCCCCGGGTTCTCCCTGCTGCCGCTCGGTCCGAACCTGTCCGAACCTGCCGGAGGAAGCGGAGCCTCCGTCAAGAAAGCGAGAAGTCCCAACCTTTGCGGCACCCGTAGCGCTTGCGAAAATTTAAATCAGTTGTGCGCATGTGGTTGTGCGCATCACGTAGACTACGGCAGGAACGACGTAAAATTTATTTTCAAAATAAGATTGTGAAGTTCTGACAATTATAACGTCATCTAAAAAAAAAAAGTCGAGTCAAGTCATCTTGATTGTCCTCCGCATCACATGTGGTACATGAGGTGGAACGAAATTGTGTACGCAAGGTCCCAGTTACACCCAAAAATAGCAAAATATAAGTATATAAAGATACAGTAAGGACCTAAGATATTCACTGATATACGCTAAACAATAATAATGTAAAACAATATGGCAACAGCAGCCGAACATGAGTCTGGTGAGCAGATAGATATGAATGAATACAGCAGCATGAGGTCAACAGCATGGATAATCAGCAGCATGAGATCAGCAGCAGCATGAGATCAACAGTACAGATAAGTCACATATCACCAATTAAAGTGTCATACAGTGATTTTTTTTTCTTACAGTGATTATTCTGGTTAGAGATTCATGAGTCTAACAGCCTCAGGGTAGAAGCTGTTCCTCAGTCTAGTGGTTCTACACTTAATGCTCCTCAACCTCCTTCCTGAGGGGAGCGGGGCAAAAAATGTGTGTGCTGGGTGGGTGTGGTCCTTCTTGATGCTAGTGGCTCTTTCCTGCATCTGGATGTAGATGTACATGTCTGTGATGGTGGGGAGGCTGACGCCAACATTCTTGTTGTTCACTCCATTCATGCATGGGTTCCCTCCCACAGACCAAAAACATGCATGTTGGGCTGACTGGTAACTCTAAATGTGGTGTGAGTGAGAATTGTTGTTTGTCTCTGTGTCCCTGTGATGGACTGGAGACCTGTCCAGGGTGTTGTCCCCCACCTCTCACACAATGACTGCTGGATATGGGAACCAACCCCAATGACCTGAAAAGAAAGAAGTGGTTAATTCAATTCAGTTTATTTATAAAGCGCCAAATCACAACCAAGTTGTCTCAGGAACTTTACAGGAACATTCACATAAAAGCCAGTTAGTAAAGTTCTCTATCTAAGAATCCAGCAGACAAGTTGAATCTTGGCTTCGTTGCAGTCTCCCATCCTGAGCAAGCACAGTGGAGACAGTGGAAAGAAAAACTCTCTTTTAACAGGAAGAAACCTCCAGAAGAACCAGC